ATAGCAAGTCTGTTTTCTGTTTGTTGCAGATGGTAACTCAGGGATTTGTTTGACTGACTTTAAGAAACACTTTCAAACCACAGCCAGTGGGTTTGCTTTTATTGCTGGAAGGATTCAAATAAACACAAGATGATTCTGTATCATCACCTGATGTTATGTGACGACTCTGTCAGCCTCCCTCCTGCTTTGGTGATGTTTTGAAGGGATGTTTGACACACCACCCTCACAGGGAAGACTTTCTTTCTAATATCCAGCCTAACCCTGTCCTCTGTTGATTGGAAGCCATTCCCCCTGGTCCTCTGCTGGGGGTCAGCCTGTAGCAGAAACTGCAGGAATTAAACCCAGCACCTTCTCTGCTGCCCTTATTCCTCCCACACTTGCCCTCTGGTACGTCCCAGAGACTCGGGGATGAGCTGCCAGTGGATGAAGTGTTGTGTCCCTTGCATGATGGCTGTTACTACTAAACCTTTTTTCCCTGCTACTTCCAAGTGCTGTCACACCCCAGTGCAGGAGCTGTAGCTTTAGGGGGTTTATTGGAGCATCCCTGACACCCCCCAGCCCCCGGGGCCTCCAACAGGAGAAAACAAGGGAACCGCAGCCGTTGACCGTAACACAAATCGACTGCTACTTGTGCTGATGTTTTCAGCATAATTCACTGCAGCTTGAACATGTTGACTATCTGCATAATTTCTCCTTGAATAATTTTCCTGCCATATGGGACAGTGCAGACCTTGAGCTGCTGGCTCTGCCCACACCCCCTCCATGACTAACGAGCCTGGCTTGGCGCGGGGGGGAACAGCAACCTGCACATCCCTGGGAGGGAGCCACGGTTTCTGCTGATGTGCTTAAAGGAGGGATGGGTTTCTAACCCCCAGCCTGGCATGAGAAGCACTCATGAGTGGTGATGGTCCTGCTGACACAGCCCCTGTGCTCCCACACGCACCACTGTGGGGGCTCAGGGCCCTGCAGACCTTGGGGCAGGGCACAGAGGACAGCCTGTGCTGCTGAAAGGAGTTTTTAGGGGACAGAGAGGATTTCAGCCTCCAAAGCTGTCACGTTGGGGGTTTTCATCAGCATTGATTTGAGCTTCTAAAGTAAAATATTGTTCAAGACAATTAACCAGCTCAGCTTTGTTATACAGGGAAACTTGAGGAATTCTTTACAAAGCTCCTGTCCTTTACCATTTAGCCTTAATGCAAAGCATAACCTCTAGCAGTGTCTGCTGCAGTTAATATTGTTGACAAGCTGGGCTGTCTTTCAGTCCAGACTTCATGTCTTAATTAAACGGAATTTGTTTCAGCAAATAATGCTTGTCAAAAGTATTTTTTTTTTTTTTCTTTTGCCTTAGGACTTCTACAAAGATGCTCTTAGACATTTTGATAATTAGCCATCTGTGTCTCAGCGTTACAATAGCTCCACGTAAAGACAGACTAATTTTTCCCAAGCCAAAATTATAAATTAAATACACAGACATGTCAGGCTAATCTTAAGTATAAAGCAGTAGCACACTGTGCATGAGAACACTGGGAGCAGTAGCACACTGTGCATGAGAACACTGGGAGCTCACCTAGGACAAACCTATTGCTTTTAGGAGAAATTCTGATGCCAGAATGAGCTGTGGTAGGACCAGTACCAGGCATGATGTTGGCTGGCTGCACCAGGGGAGATTTAGATTGGATGTTAGGGAATATTTCTCCATGGAAAGGGTTGTCAAACCCTGGAACAGGCTATGGAGTCACCATCCCTGGAGGGATTTAACAGAGATGGCACTTGGGGACATGGTTTAGTGATGGCTTTGGCAGTGCTGGGGGAACAATGTCCTATCTGCCCTATTGGTTTTGGAAGTTGCCTGGACCCACTGGGATTTCTGCCAATGTTTTCCATGTGTGAGGGGAGAAAGGGCAATGCCACATCAGGATGTTGTCTACAAATGTGAATGCATCCCCTTCCTCCACTAAAAAATAGGAAGATGAGAAAAAATAAATTTAAAAAAAAATGCATAAAGAGTTTTCAGGCTTGAGAAAATGCCTTGCCTGGAGAAAATGAAATCTACTCAAGAAATCAGACAGAAGCCGATGTATCCAGTGGATTGAAATAATTTTACAGACAGAAAACACTGAGTAATTTTGGCTGTGGGACAAGGCTGGCATCCTGTGTGCCAGCGGTGGGATGCCACAGCCAGCCAGCTTCAAAGCTGAGGTTGTGTTCTACACAGAGCTGACTTTGTGCTGAGCCAGCCTGGGACCTGGAAAAGTGCCGAGGGAGCGGGGCTGGCTGGCACTTGCTGTCTGTGTCAGTGTGGGGCATCTCCTGGAGGAGCTCGGCTGAGCTGGACACAGCACGCGATGCCCGGGACTGATCAGGGGAACAGGCTGGAGCTGCCTGGCAGGATATGGACTGTTCACACCAGGCACGAGAAAGAAAGGGGTGGGGGAGAGGGTTACCCAGAGAAGCTGTGGCTGCCCCATCCTTGGAAGTGTTCAAGGCCAGGTTGGATGGGGCTTGGAGCAACCTGGGCTGGTGGAAGGTGTCCCTGCTGTGGCAGGGGGACAGAACGAGATGAGCTTTAAGGTCCCTTCCCACCCAAATCATAAGCCAGTTTTCAGCCTCTATTTGTGGTCCACCAGTATTTTTGATACTATATTTTAAAGTAATTATATTGGATTCCATATAAAAATAAGACTGGAGCCCAGTACAACATTCCAAATACAGAAAAATATAATACAGCTGCTCGTGTGGGACTGTCTGAAAAATAGGGCTGATGTGCAGCTTAGGGAAATTCCACATCCTTACTCTCAGAACAGCCTCAGCACAGGAGAGACTGGCCTGCAGGAGCAGCTGTGTTGGAAAGGAGGAGAGTTTAAAGTAGAAAATTGTTGTTAAAAAAACCTCACCATCCCAAATTACTAACCAATGCCTTATTATTCTTTTCTAGCCTTTTTGGACCTGTTTAAAGAAAAGGAAGATTCCAGCGTGGTTCCCCTGCCTGACCCAGATGAGATCAGGCTTTGCCAGCCCTCAAAGCAAATCCTCTGCAGAAATTATGAACTTTCCTCCACAGAACTTTCCCTCCACTTTCCAGAAAGTCCATTAAGTTTACTGTAGCCTTAAATAAAACATTAAAAACTCTCCCTCAGCAATACTCCCTGCAGGAAAGAAGAAAACTCCTCTCCAGGTAACTCTCCACCCCCTGCTCTGCCGGGACTGCAGGAGGTGAAGTGCCAGCTGGGCTCACACCCTCTCCTCATCCGAGAGGAACCAGCTCCCGGCTGGGCACTGGATGGCACAGGGAACGTGTCACTGAGCCAGGAATTGGAGTTACACTTCTGGAAATGCCAGTGCTCTGACCTTTGCAAATTGGGATGGGCTGCTCCTTTGATTTAGTGCTTGTCTTGCTTCCGAGGCTCAGCTGGTTCTCTGCTCTCGCTGTGCTCGCTGCCTTCATCTGATGGCTTTGGACAAGTGTCAAAGACACCACACACTGCCAAGGGTTAGTGCTGAAGTGCTTAATTAAACAAGCCTCTGGGCTGTGGCAATTTGCATGGTAGAAGCACCACAGCAGGGCTCTTTTCCTTTTTTTTTTTTTTTATTTCTTCTAAAGTTAGGATTGGGAACTGGTTAAAAAAATAATGTGAGATTTTGTTGGGGGTTTTGTGGGGTTTTTTTTATTTGTTTGGGTTTGGTTTCTTTTTGTTTGTTTGTTGTGGTTTTTAGGTTTTTGTGGTTTTTTTGGTTTGTTGTTGTTGTTTGTTTGGTTGGTTTGGTTTTCAGTTTTTTTTTTTTTGTTCTCAACTACAAGTATTTGGAAAATACGACTCGCAACCCCCCGTCTGACTGGGGGGGATCAGCTCTGGTGTGCAAGCAGCACCACTGGAAGAGGTGAATACAACACTGATCTCTGCTTTGTTTGCCATAACCCAACTGCACTGTGGGGTTTTGGTTGGTTTTATTTATTTTTTTTTTTTTGTTGGTTTTATTTCTTTTTTGCTCATCATAAGAAGACGAGCAGAGCAGCGAGTGCAGCAAGCAGGGCAGGTTTCAGGTGGGTCCTGGGGGTTCACAGAGGGGCTGTCCCTGTTTCCTGAGGGATGTTCACTTAAAACCCTGAACAGGGAGGAACAAAGGGGGTCTTAGGGAAAAAAATAGCCAGACATGAGGGCATGCCCATATCTATTAGGAATAACCAGGTTATTGCACAAGTCTCTCCCAGCCTCCGTTCCTGTGTTCCTGTTCGTTTTGTTGACCTGCTGTAGGGTCAGACAGGGAATTAGCCATTATCTCCTCACAGAATTGAGATCTTGACCTTTCCATCCGTTTTACACAGCACCCAGCTCGCTAGCAGGCACTCTGGTAATTAAGGCCTAATCATGGTATAAATCAAGTAAATAAGTACCTGTCAACGGGTCATCAGGACTGGTGTTCCTCCTGGGCAGAGCTGTGTTTGTGGAGGTCACTGCAGCCAAACAGCCCAAATCCTTCCAGGCAAGAGTGTTTTTCAACAGCCCTTTCATGAAGCCCCTTTTGCAGGGGGGGACCAAACCACCCTACCATTCCCATCTCCCACCCATCTGCAGGCAAGCCCACCAAAATATTTGGGGACTTCTGTTGATTTTTTTGCAGTGGTAAAAAAAATAATAAATCCAAGTATTTAATGATAAGAATATGTTAATTGTCACAGATTCCAACTTAAGTAACTTGTGAGGGGTTCTTTCCAAATTAAAAGTGGATGGTTTCTAAACAGGCAGTGCATAGGTAAAATGTTCTGTAAAAATTCTCACTCGTTCAGAAAGTGAAAATATTGAGAGAAATACTAAGACAAAACAGTATTTCTATCATACAGTGATGAATGTTCAATGCATCTGATCCTGGCATTGGAGTCCTACTGGCAACCAAGGACTATTTTTCCCATGATCCTGGTGTCAGAACACCCTACTGACACGAGTGTATAGGATAATGAAAAGGTCATTAATTCAATTTAGATTAATTTCAATAAATCACCATGATTAATTAATAATTTATTAACTAGGAATTAAGTGTGAATTGGTAGAGAACACAAAGGGAGTAGAAAAGAAACTGCCCACAGGAAATGCAGTCTCTTTTTGACAGAGCTGAAAGGCAAAAATGAGTTGAAACATTTTTTTGAATATATATAAAATTTCTGTGTCATTAAAAAAAAATAAAATCAGAGTAACAAATGTGCAGCACTTTAATGTCAGATTTGACTGTCATTGGAACTGTTCACAAGGAGTGTGGACAATCTAAGTTGTAGTTCATTTTCTAAGGATGATATATAACCATTAGGATAATTTAGAAAAACACATCACCAGAACTTGGGCTGAAGAGGGAAGAAAGGGAACATCTTTGGAAGGTCCAAGTGGGATTTTTCAAGTGAACGCTATTCCAATATTTTGAGACAAACAGGGAGAAGTGAGGTCTGTTACACATCTTTCACAGCCTATATATAAACCAGCCTCAAGAATATTTACCTGAACAGATATATACAGATTTTTTTTTGTTTTAAATATTCTTAAAAAAGTAATATTTGCTTGATCTATGACACAATGAACGTCTCTACAGGGAAAACGTACCGTAGGCATAACAAAATACTCAAGAAGTCATAAAAGGTAACACGAGAGCAGTGTTTGGCCTTGGTAAAAGACATTTAGGATGGCTGCAATGGATGGATACAGCTTTGTTCAAGAAAGGAGTTGTGCATATTTAAAGGTACTTACAAAGCTGGTCTTCTCCTTTCCTTGACATGGGTATGTTTCCTAATGGGATGAGTAGAAAATCATGGACACCATGCATTGCTAAAGGAGGGCTATGCCCATCTGTCTCACATGTCTGTGTTGCAATGATGGAAGAGTCTCTTCTAACCCCTATGGCTCATAAGTGAGAGAGATGTAGCATTCAGCCTGTGGGAGTTGAAGGGCAATTTCAAGGACTCCATGTTTAATGAATTCATAGGATTCAGCTCCCCTTCTTCGTCTGTCAGAACAGATTTTTATATTCTCTATAGAACTGAAATGGTTTAAAACACTTCAGGTCTACAGCCATGCTAAAATGCTGCTCTTCTGGTAAAGTTTAACATTTAAAGCAAAGATTACCAGTGTTAAGCATCCTTCTTGCTTAAAATCCCTCTGTGTGTGGAGTGAAATGGGTGACTTTAAGCATCTGTGGAGGAAAATAATTACCACACCACTACCTATCACTGGATGTGTTCAGCAGCAGCTTTTGTACAAACTCTGGGCAACAAGGTCACTGGCAAAATGAGCTGGATCTTTCCAAAGGCCAACAGGTGGCTCCAAAGCTTCCAAAATTTACCTTCAGAGAGTTTTGACCCACCTCAAGACCACATTTTCCAAGTGGCACAGGGGATACAACCTCTCCGATGGCACTGCTGCTCACCCGGCTCCGCGAGCCACAGCTGCTCTTGCCCTCATTCCCTCATGGTGATGGATGTAGAAAGTTACAAAAATGCAACTAGAAAAGTTTTTATATCTTCCCAGTGTGCAAATGGCTGTGTGTTTTTATGGGAACTCGACTGAAATTTCTCAATGCCAGCTGTTGCATTCTTGGATGCTTCAGCCGCTTTTACATGAATGTCTTTGCTCATAACTAAAAGATAATTGACTATAAACAAGTGTACTATAAACATGAAGAGAAAAAAATCACAAAGAAGAATTGTTTCCTGGTTTTTCTGAAAAGAAATAGGCAATTAAGGCTATGACTAGAAAATGACTGAAGTTTCTATTAGAATAATGCCTGTCATTTTAACTGCTATTTTATGAAGAACCAAGGGGCTTCAGTGCTACTAAATATTTAATGAGAGAAACCAATGATGTCTAGAAGTGTTGCTGTCTCCTATGGGAATAACTGTAACTAATCCTCTGCCCCCAAAAGAGCAGATTTTGCATATTGTGCCCAAACTGACAGCACTGCGAGCTGCTGAAAGACCAACACCACCTTCTCAACAAAATTGTTTACAAACTCTGACCCCTCCCCACCTCAGTGTTTCCTGGCTTTTACCCAGGCTTGGATGGGTAATGGCCTGGATATTTCATGGCAAATTTCTCAAACACAATCACACAAACACGCACTGGAAGAGGGGGGACTCATCCCATTGCCTTCAGTAGGACCAAGAGCAAAATTAAGCGCGGAAGCGAGCGAGCTGACAGTTACTATTTCTGTGATGCCTCCTTCTGAAACCACATCTGTGCATCCTCCCAAAGCCATCCTGCAGAGGAAACACATCAGCTTTCATTAAATCGACCTCCCAGGTTTCTCTGGGTTGAAAACTGCTCTGATGCTTAGTTCCCCCCATCATCCAAAGGGGAATATTCACTGCAGTCCTCGCTGCTGCAGCCTCCCCGTGCTGGGGTGGGGCAGCCAGTGCAGCCAACAGGCAAAGGATGCAGGGAAGAAAACTGATGGCTTGGACATAACACAAAAGCTCCTCAGTATGGAAAGTCAAAACCTGTTTTGTTCTACAGAATCACTGGGTTTCGTGGCTTATACGATATCTCAGTGGAGATATTACTTGTTTCCCAGCATTTTTCTCGTAACCACAAATCATACCCACAAATAAAAAATATCCCTTCAAAACCACTTCCTATTAGCAGAGCATACCTTATATTATAAAACTTGCAAGTAGACCAGTGTTGTACCATGAAGCCTATACAGGGGGTTTTTTGTTTTTTTCTTTTTGTTTTCCCAGTGTAAAAATATACAATGCTACTGCTCATCTGTTGCAGTGTAAAGGTCCAACTGGTCCTTGCCTGCTGAAGGCTCCACCTCTACTGCCCTTTCATACCTCCCCAACCCAGACCACTGTGTTACCCCTCCTTACACCCGACACCTCACAGCGTAACGTATTTTGCCTCCCGTTTATAACAAACAATGAATCTTTAGCTGGTGTAATGAGATACTGTCCAAATAATCCACTGTCTTTCATAATTCTGTTGTAGCTGCTCCAGGGCCAGTCTTTGGATGCGATAGGGTCCTTTAAGTTCTTCAGTACGTTCATTTTCCCCGTCGACAGCTCCACAAAAAGCACATCCGTTTGCCGATGTGAGGCGGCGTATACATAGTACTGATTGCCTTCGGTGAAGGAGGGCTGGAACGTCAGATCGGACACGCGGGTGTTCGTCTGTAAGTCATAAACCAGCCGGATCTCCCCCCGCACGGTCAGGGCCTGCACCGCGATCCTGCCGCTGTCCCCGTCGGCGCTGACCAGGTACCGCCCGTCGGGGGACACGTGCGGGGAGCCCGACACGGCGCCGTTGGGGCCGACGACGGCGTCGGTGACGCTGTCCAGGATGAGCTGGGGGGACGCGGCGCCCGCGCGGCCCCGCCGGCACTGGATGAAGTAGTGGCCGCCCAGGTGGGTGTAGGCCATGGCCTGTGGAGCACAGCCCCGCGCCCGCAGGCTGATGGTCTTGACGTGGGTCACGGTCTCCAGGTCAATCTTGTGAACCGCTGGCTTCGATCTGTTAAAAATGAAGCCGAACCTGCAACGGGAAACGAGACACTGAGGTCACCCCTGGAGACACGGGGACACGCTGGAGCAAAGAGGGAAGTCAGCAGAACTAGGAAACTCCATCCTGCTGGTTTGGGAAGTGTGTGGAATAATGCTGTATCTTTTCTGTATTTTAGTGCTTCTAAAACATCCTGAAAGGAGGGATATATTGTATTTCAGTTCAAATCTGCAAACTGATCCTGGAAGTTTGAATATGTGCTCGGGCATTTGAATCTCCAAGAGCTGAAATCAATCTGCTCTGCACCTGAGCCTTGCCAGCTCCTGCACTGTCCCCAGGCACCACTGGTACCAAACACACATCACAGATCCCCTCTGCTGCTATCATTTAAGAGATGAGGTTAGACATGCTCTTCGTTTGGTGGTTATACATTATATTGTATATTTATTAAATTATATTATATTTATATATTATATTTATATACTATATTATACTATATTATATATAGTTGCTCTCTGGCCCCAACCTGGCAGCAATATGCTTTATTTTGAATGTTTTTCTATTGGGATAGGAATGATGCCAAGGCTTGGGTGTTCTGTAGGCTACTAATGACCAGGTTTGTATTTAATCTGTCTGACGTTTACAGTGATGTAATTCAATATATATTCACGCCTTAAATCCCAAAGTAGAAAAACATTCAAAATAAAGCATATTGCTGCCAGGCTGGGGCCAGAGAGCAACTACATATAATATAGTATAATATAATATATAAATATAATATAATATCATAAATATACAATATAATGTATAACCACCAAACGAAGAGCATGTCTAACCTCATCTCTTAAATGACAGCAGCGGAGGGGAGCCGTGATGTGTGTTTGGTACCAGTGGTGCCTGGGGACAGTGCAGGAGCTGGCAAGGCTCAGGTGCAGAGCAGACTGTGTTAAACACCACCCTGGCAGCCCAGGGAAGGTGTAAAACATTTCTTGAGGAACATAACCAGGGTGCCCTGAAGATAAGGGGTCTTGATTTTCTGTCTCAAGACAGGGCAGGAAACAGAGAGCAGAGAATAAATGTTCTGTAAAAGATATATGCTGCAGCAGATCTGACCTTTGCTGAAGACAAGAAAAGGTCAGGAATAGCCAGGAAAGGTTTCTGCTTAATTTGAGAGAGAGAGCCCATAGAAACAGCCTGTTTGTGTTCCTGGGATTCACAGGTCACTGGCACTGGCTTACAAAAACTAATTTTACATCGAGCATCTTTTCATCCGTTCAATGCAGACAGAAGGAAATGAAGTGAGTGCTTAGTGTTGTATCTCTTCCCCAAAAGATGTAAAATTGCCTTGTGAGTTGTGGAGGACGACGTGCTTGCGTGCAGACAGTATATATTTTGCTTGAAACACTGGGTTTGTTTCTTTATTCTTAATCCATCTGTCAGTGAGACACAGCAATGATTTCACTTCTGAGGAACGAGCCAATGCAGTGAATGATCCCATGAAAATCACTGGGCTAAGCCTTTCATTTCCCCATTATACTCCCCTCCATTAGAGACTTCACAAAATATCTGCAGTGGAGAGCTGTAGCGCACTGTGTGTGGGGAAATTGGATATGACACTTGTATTTCTCCTGGATGAGTGCATTTTAAGTACACTTTAAAAAGTGCTTTCCCTTACAGCATTTTTTTTTCCCTAAGACTTCCTTAATACTTGGCCGAATGCCTGAAGAAGTTAAGAAATGGTTCTTATCATAAACTTTCATTTAAAGAAGTGGGTCAGGATGTATTTTATGTGCCCACAGCTGCAGAAGAGGCACAGCCCTTGCATGAAATCTGTGATCTGAAATCGCAAAGCAAAACTTGCACTTGGAGAGTTTTCAACAGACAACAAGCTACCCTGGGAACCAATAAAAGCGGATACATTTCTAGATATCCATCTGAAATAAGAGGCAGTTGAAATACATATGCAGGAATATTTGCATACAAATATTTTTTGGCTCGTGGAAGAGACTGCTTAAATATTCACCTTCCTGGGAAATGCTGGTATTGCCATTCATTGTTTCTGAGTGGAGAGTTTAGAACATGATCTCAATGAGTCTCATTAGACTGCAAGCAATTATTTTTCTGGGCTGAGGGTGAGTGAGAACGGACAAAGATCTGGCTCTGAACAAATGCAACAGGAAATCAGGCACAGCATTTGCAGCTTTGCACACGGGAAATTATAGACAAGAACCTACATTTAATATTTCTTATGGAATCTGTATACAGCCAACTAATCACATTCAAGCAAAAAGACAACTAAACAAACAAACAAATAAAGCATAACTGTTCCACTTTCCTGTCTTTGA